ATAGAGTAGCACTCTTAACTCTTTATTGAGCCTCTGAGAAGCTCCTTTCAGCTTCAATACGAGTCAACTTGTGGCGGCAATGGCTTTGGATTGAGACAACATCTAAAAACAACACTCCAAACCAAGAACAAAAAAAATAGAGTGCACACAGGGGCAATTACAAAGAAATAAAGCAAGTGTCCAAGACTCTTGGACTTTTCAAGTATTCTTTCTAACACATAATAATATCGAGCCATTGTTTTTCTGAGAGAAAAGTAAAATAGGCCTATCTCAAAGCAATGAACTGAAAGGTGCACCTCCTGCTCCACCCCCAAAGAAAAAAATGAAACATCCCAGTGCAGTCCGATTCTGACTTCCATGAGGTCATGGCATCCATTGAAGTTTCTAAGAGCTGCCACGCCACATTACCTTTCCCATCTGTCTCGGCACCGTGAAAATTAAGTTATGCCCCATGTCAGCATAGTTTTGTTTCTCTTCTCTCACTCTTTTCACTGCTCTCCGTCCCCTTGATGGAAGAAAAACTGGACATAGAAAATGCAATCAAGTCATATGCGCTCATGCAGTCCAGCTCACTATTGCAGACTAGTATGCTGATGATGTGGAGGGGGTCCTCAGTTTGTTCATAGGGTCATTCAGAAAAGGTTCTTTACTGCCTGCCCTTCCCCCAAATTCCTTCTTTTAAGAATCCCTTTAAAAAAAAACAACCCCCTCTTCCCATCCACTGACAACTGAACCTCACCCCTCTCCCGTATTCCCCGCTCCATTTTTTTTTTTTTTTTTTCCACGTTTGGTTTATGCCCCAGTCAACAGATAAAATGTGCCAGGGGCAACGTTTCCACACAGAGAAACTTCTCCTTATCTAATTGCTTATGTAAAATCATGATGTAGATTAACTGTTTTCAGTTAAAAAGGAAAGTTGTGAATTTTCATTGCATGCTGAATCTGAGATCAAAGCAAACTCCAGCTATTCACACAAGATACACAAGAACTTAAGAATGTTGGAAACTAAATTGGTAACATTTGAAGAGTTCAGATGCAAAAGCCTCTAAGTGCCATTTGAAATTTTCTTCTAAAATGATAATTTTTATCGAGCTTGTATATTTAAGTTCAGTAATTTCACTTAAATGGCAATGAAGATTACCTATTAATTGTCATTTAAGTGAAATTACTGAACTTAAATATACAGGCTTGACAAAAATGGTCATTTTAGAAGAAAATTTCAAATGGCATTTAGAGGCTTTTGCATCTGAACTCTTCATTTTCTTTCACTGGATTATGCAGTGTTGTCACTTTTAAAAGGGGACTGTTCTCAAGAAAAACTGAATGTGACAGGTTCAACACAGCATGTCTGATCTGAGAAACAGCTCTCCTTTTACTAAGTCCCAGTGGGGCCCTTCACCTGACGAGGATGAATAGTCAGTTCACCTCAACTTGTTACTTCTGAGAGAAAACAGCCAAGCAGAAAAGTTTAGTTAGTCATTATGCAGTCTTTAGAATTACTTTCAACATGAAACCTGCAGAAAAGAATTGCTTTAGAGAGAGAGAGAACACAACAGGACAACACCAAAAGTTACATGAAATTACATTTTTAGCCTTTCTAAAATATTATTTAATATTTAATGCGGAAGCCAGGAACCGCAACATAAAAAAAAAACCGAGCATTTCGAGATTAAAGTCGAAATATTTCGAGATTAAAGTCTTTTAAATTCTTAAATTAAAGGCTTTTTTTGTTTGTTTGGGTTTTTTTGTTTTTACCTTGCGGTTCAGGGCTTCCGTAATATCACACAGATATTAGAAACTAGGCTACAATCCATACTATCAATCAATACATATTTCTGACAAGGTTTTACATCACAAAAATAGTAAATAGTAAAAATTACTGTTTATTTATGCAAAATATTGACTCTCCCCCAAATAATATATTTACAATTGAACTTTTTAGTACAATGGGTTACTAACGTTTTTATTTGCAAATAAGGTGTAGAAAGGTGGGTCCAAATTTGCATACTTGTGCACTATTCTATGCCATTAGTATAAATAGTGTGAGTATAGTGCATTCACACTGAAAATTCCCAATAGAAAAAGTGTACTTTAAATACCCAGATGAATGATGCACTCAGTTAGCTAGTGTGGAATGTTGGACACTTCCTATAGGCAACTCAATTGTTGCAGCTTTAATTACATTGCGTAGCAGGAGGAGCAATAAAACACTGATGTTGAATCAATGACAAAATAACCGTATAACATTCATACACTACAAGGTTGAGTACATGCATAAGTGCATATCATTTGGGACACAGTTTTTTTTTTTTTTTTTTTTTTTTTTAAAGTAACCTCCTCCACTTCTCAATTTAAGACAGATTAACATAATTTACATTGTACTATCTCCTCCTTCTGCTCTCTCAAGAATGTTCAATCTGCTCTTTCTAGAGGTGTCAGCCAGAAGACAGAATGAAGTGCCTGGTCATTGTATGCTGCCTCTATTGTGTGTTTAGTATTAGCATGACAGAGGTGCCACTCGACTTCTCCTTCATTCATTAATTCTGAGGAGCCTGTCCCGCATCTGCCTCGAAATGAGGGGTCACAGCTACCATCTTGGATCTCTAGAATTCTTATAAACATAGGCATTAAAATTCACCATTTTCCCAATGATTCATTTCAGTGAGAGTCTGGTATTCTAAGTGTTGATTATATTATTATGGGATAATAACTTTCTGCCCTTTTGGAACGCTAACAATATCAAGCTGTATTGTTATATTAAACTTCACAGAACAAAAAGGCATTTGGAATCCAAGGAGGGATTTGTACAATAAGTGCTACTCACACTGAGAAGCAAACTCTTTTAAACAATGACAAGCCCACTTAAACACACACACAGTAGCAAACTGAGTGTGTTTGTGATGGCTACTTCATTCACCGCTTTTTCAGCCTGAGTGAAGACTTTAAATAAACACTCAAGCTTTGAACAAATAAGCCAGTTGAGTCCTTACTTGGTTCATGTTCAACTCTGATCCCATTCAAAGGCAATCTCATTTGTTTCCTCAGATGTTGAGTCTCTGGGAACTTAGACTAACTCCCTCTGTAAACATTTATGTTTACAAGTTCAAGTGCAGGAACAGACAGAGCACAACTGTTTTATTAGTAGATTACTTTGGTAATGGGTATCAGGTGGAAATTCAAGCTTTTTGATGACAGCCCAAGAGAAATATTGACTTAATTGAAAAAACAAACAAACAAGCATTTTATGACAAGCTTTGCACTATTCTTCTTATCTACTCACAATCTACTCAAATCTCAAAAAATAAAATCTAGACGTGTGATGTTTAATGCTCATTTTGATATTCTGAATGGTAAGTTAAAATTTCATCTGCTCTCAGTAGAAATTAAAAACAATTTACTTGTCCATATCTTGCATGATGGGCACGAAGACTATAGAGAGCTGTTGCACAACTGATAAATAAAACAATCATTAAAATCTATTGCAGACAGGAAATGTTATTAAACTATATTTAAGTTAAATACATGTGCAATTATTTTACAGGTATTTAAGCTGTTTTAACAAAAATATCCAGCACTTGTTTTGGTTTGTATGTATATGAAATAACCAGACACAAAAAAGGTCAAATGCTTTTATAATAATTTGGTGTTTTAAACTTATCATAAACTGTAATATAGTGAATGATGCTCCGGAAAAAAAATAAACACCCCTTTGGAACAAATTAAGGAAAAGAAAAAATTTAGTGTTATGTATAATTATCTCAATACTGTCGTAAATAATTGTAATCTGCTAAGTAAAATATATAAAGGATGGGACAGAGATATAAAGGACTTCAATGCCAAAACAAAATGGAAGGAGTGCTTAAATCTAACATAAAAGCCAACAGCAACGAAAATCTAGATTGATTCAATATATGACCTGTAAGAGCCAATTAGCGCTCTTACCATAAATAGGAATCAGTCTTTGGTTGCTTAGATGTGACCCGGAAGCACGGACAATTTTTGACCACACACAGCAGTACAAAGTCAAATGTGCGCAATGAAGTTTGTCTGGATATGGCTATGATGGAAATAAACCGAACTCATGGTTTTAACTGCAAAGATGACTTGGACTTTCATTCAACTTTAAAGGTAAAAGTGCATCAACTACTCAATTCCAGGGAAAGCATCTCAGGGGCTTAAAGTGTGAGCTTGGCCTCTACATGACCAGAATTTATTATAGTAGGGACAAAATTCATAAGTTTGATGCATGCATGGGTGGGGACCCATCCTCCCTAAAGTGCAGTAGTAGTGACAATCTCACTTATTCATTTTGGTACTGATGTGAAAAAATAAAGAAAACCTGGTTTGTCATTAAGAGATGGCTCTCTAATATTAAGCAGGAATTTGTATCCACACAAAAGTAACAAAAATGAAATATCATATGGGATGGCAATTCATATTTTCTTCATTTGACTATAAGAAACTGACAGTAATGAAATATGAACTAATCATAGAGAAAACTGTCAGTGGACAAAAATAAACAAAAAAAACAGCAACTCTGTGTGGAAACCAATATTTCACGCTCTGTGATTAGCCCAACGCTATAGCTCTGCTTAACTTTTTTTTCCCAACAGTACACTCAAGGAGCGTCACCAGTGTAATTTGTGTGTGTGTGTAAATAAGACATCATATTATTATTATTATTACTTTGTTGTTGTTGTTGTTGTTTTGTTACCGAGACTTGTGCCATGTGTGACAGTTTGTCCTGTTTGCCTTGTGTCTCTTGTCTTGTTTGTAAAAAAAGAAAGGAGTAAGTATTAAGTGAAGTGGAATGAGCATTGTTGTTGTTGTTTTGTTGTTATTTTTTTCTTCCCCTATTGCATAGAGGATGTAGTTTAGTATTGGTTAATACTTGGATAGACTCCAGGTGTCCAGGTTGTTTGTTGCCTTGCCTCTCTGTTTTTTTTTTTTTTTTGTACTTGCAAAATAAAAAACAATTCTACTTAAAAAAAGGTTTTATAATAACTTTGAAGCAATCTTTATGAACATTATAAACAGCTATTACATGGTATTATTTATCAACATTATTCACACAATTATATGATACAAAACATATACATTTACAATAATCAAGCTGTTCGTAATTTACACTAACCAATCTTTTATACAAAAATAAACTTTCAGTATTTATTATTTTTTGTATTTATTTGAATATAAGTTTCCACAATAGTTCATAATAACTTAAAAGCCTATATGGGAGCACATATTTCCAATATATTTTCTTGACATCAAAAACAACTTTTCATGGTGTGGTTTTCTTCATCAACTCAACTCAGCTTTATTATAGCACAACAACAACTTGACCAATGTGCTGTACGCTATATTATTGCACCATTTTCTGCCTTTTAAAAACAAGACGAGGTTGTCTTTTCCCATTATTTCCACCCAGGCCAAATATGCAGCTAGCAGAACTCTAAAAACATGACTTATCTTAATACAAAAAGTGTTAAAATGGTGGACACCACAATCGAATACTGTTGTGCTCTTAATTCCCAAGCATCACTGTGTTCGTCCTCGTAATCCATCTCGTAGTCGTCCTCCGGGTCGTACTCGGTGTCTGAGAAGCCACTACCGCCATATCTGTCGGTAAAGCAAAAGTTTTTCATGCTGATTTTGACATACTCGCATATGGCCCTTTCTGTACCGTCGCAAACGCAAGTGTCCAGGAGCTGGGCTTTGGGAATGGAGCGCATGTTAGTGATGACCAGCCGGCAATCGTCCGAGCAGAGCTCTCCTCCGAACAGTTTCCTGCAGTGATACAGATAGTCCCTCATGGCGGTGCTGCATTCGGGATCCATCTCGCACTGCTTACGGGCTTCGGTGCAGCCCATGTGGCTGGTTCTGGGCATACAGGGCTCGATGGCTCGCTTGGTCATCTTGCACAAAGTGTCCGAGGAGCATTCGCAGTCCTCCAGGGCCGGACCGTTCACAGTTAGGTTCAGCTGAATGATGGAAGAAATGCAGTGGCTAGGACATTTCTTCCTGTTCCCGTTTATCACCGAACCGCACGCGTGTAGATACTGAGTATACGCGTAGTGGCACTCCGGTTCTCCTTGGCACTTCATGATGGCCTGCCAGCATATCAAACGCTGGTTGTGTGCTGGTGAGGCGGCGGATAAACGACTAAAACATATAAAAGCACAGCCGATGGACAAAATCAATATCTGCAGCCGTAGAGTGACTGCTGGGTTTCCAGACTGTGCCATTCCTTGATGTGCCCTCATGCAACAGCGTAAAAGTTAACTTATTGGGTCAAGGGTTTTCATTTGTTGTCCCATAATCCATAATGTTTCTCTGTTCTTACCAGAGATTGAGATGAACAACTCGCCTTGTTCCATGCCCGCGTTTTGTTGACAACTTTAGTTAAGTGTGCTCATATTTGTTCCTTCACTATCCACAGAAACATGCATCGAAATGTATCCATGGGCAAAACTAAAAAATGGTTGGAACGAATCACATTTGCTCACTGCCGCGAGAGCAAAACGCGCAGCAACATCTTGATGCGCGTCGACTCGTTTCCTCGCTGCTCTTGGTTGAAGTAATCCAGCGATAAATCAACGCTTGAAATCATATCGAAACATCCCAAAAGCGATCTCACACTGCACCGTGTTCAAATTACAAATCTGGAAAAAGTTCAATTCACTCTGAGAAGAAGTCTTGGAAGTATCAGTTCAGTTACCCAGACCCAGACGTAGCCACTAGCCAATGCATGCAGCACACTATTGGTCCGATCAGTTGTTGTGATTTCTGACGTCATTGAGGGTGGAGGTCTGAAGGTCGAGAATGTGAAGAGGGTGCGGGTCGTAATTTGACTTGAAAAGGCATCAGTCCCTGTCCTTGACACAGTGCAAGAATATTTTGGCTCTCAATGTGCATTGCACATCTCATCCGATGTCTTTGCCCAAACCTCAGCACCCAAACAGCACTTATATTCACAGTTCTAATAGTGTGCAATTATTATATTAACTTGTAGCACGAGTCGACATATTTCAGCATGTAAGTGTTTAATAAAGTATCAGATTAATCTGCTAGAGAAAAAAAGGAAAGGGATAACTTTTGAATATAAGGTTAATACTAGGCTACAAAGCACCATTTATCATTTAACACCATTTAATCAAATACAACCAATATGTTATTTTTTTTTTTAATTTAAAATAGAATAACCTTGATTTTTTTTCTCCTGGAAATATTTTGATCATTTGCTTCCATTTCTCACAAAGAAGGAAATTGAAATTTTCCAGGTAAAATGATTGGGTCAAGTTTGTTTTGAATGTCCATTATTTAAGAAAGCATTAAACCAAACATTCTAAAGGAAATAACAGAGATTTGACAGACAGATTTTCATGTTCTTATATTTTACATGGTTTAATTACATTGGTTTATGACTCTTCAAGTCTCATGTTTACACACAATCCATAATAAATTTAACAAGGCAGCATTTTGCTGACAGTTGTTTATTTCGCTATTGGAGAATTACCATTACAAACACTTGTAGACAGTTCAAGGTGTTTAATGTGACAACGTCCCCTGAACAGTCCATTTGGTCTGCAATAAGGATCAGGATTGCATGAACAACCCTTTGATCCTTTCTGGTTGGTTTGGAGCAAAATAGCAGCTGTTACAACTTACAGTACAACTTTTTTTCTTCTGTTCTCACACCCAAACTTCAGCTTCCTCAACAACATTATACAAAATGCCTGGTCTGAAAATGTTCAACGTCCAAATAGTAGCAGGTTTGCATTTTGTAAAGTTTAATGAGATGAACTGTATGTTATATACTAAATTGACAGCTCATGTACACATTCATGTATAATAATAATAATAATAATAATAACTCCTGTGCTTTCCATCTCTAAGCGACTGATTATAACCATCACTTGGCCTAGATCTGCAAAAAGAGAAGGAGCAGCTTTTGGAGAACAGAGCGGACTGTGTTATCCAAGCTACATTGACCCTATCACACTTCTGCACTCAAACCACAAAGCTTGGGCAGCTGGCCAAAAATGTCCCCTAACCCTATACCCCACCTTTCAGCATTTTCTCCTTTTCCCAATTAGAGAGATTAGATGGCCTATTTGGGAGGAAAGGAGCAAAAATCCATTTCTCATAAGCATGTTTTTGTCGAAGTGACATATGTCTATACCTTGAGATTCCCAATGCTGTTTTGAACGGGTAATGAGAAAAGTGCTGTAGTTTTGCTTTGTATTTATTCAGATGGATATATTTTAAATAATAAATAATCACATTACATTAAAATCCCAAAACTATAACACAAGCAATTTAACTGCTCACCCAACACAGTGAGAAAACAGAATATGAGCCCAGTACATTTTCATTCGCACACAGAGAACTCTGAGCAACTCCAGAGTTAAGGCTTCACTCCTCACAAAGGATGAAATTGTTCAATCTGGTGAGACTATTACTGCAAGATGTTGGCATTTCCTTTTCTTATAGAGAGAACTGCTGTGAAATGTATTCAGAATCTCTCTGAGGAGTCGGTTGTTCTCTCTTGCCAAGCCGTCAGACCTGTTTATCATTATTTGCTGTAAAGTAGCCCAGGCTTTGCGATCAAGGGACAAACTAAAAAAGAACTTTCAGTGGAAAAACCTGGATCAGAGATTAGTCTAATTATTTGTATAATTTGAGTTCTAGAAAAGTTTTAGCTGTTTTAATACACGCATGCTGCTGGAATCCAGTGTGAATCATGTCAGTGTTGGACGCAGACCAGAAATGAAGGGAGCCAAATTTTCTCTCAGATGAATTCTGAGGCATGAACGGACAGATCTGTCCTTCTTAACTCTAACCAGCTCCGTACTTTTAAAGATATAAACTACAATGTAAAAAACAAAAATAAAAACGTCTTTCGCAGTTTTGAATAAAACAAAGATTATATGCAGGAGGAAACCTACCATATTTTTTTTCTACTTTATTTATTTATTTAGTGGATTATTTAATAGTATTTTCTAAATTAGTATTCATGCATTTATTCATCCATTCTCATAATTTATGAATACTGTATCTTATATTTGTTTTAGGCTTGCCTGCTCAATGTTTTCTGCCTGTAATGGTTGATTTCAATAATAAATGAAAAAAACTCAGCATTTCCTTTTCCTTTTTTTGCATGGTTTCCCACAATGACAATAAGTCATAACTCTAGAATATGAATGCTAAGGGTTTTTTTTTTTTTTTTGGAAAGAATATAAATGGCTTTCTCAGCACTCCAGAAGTCTCAGTCTTCACGTCTCCACCACTGTCACAACTGATTACACACACTCAAACCTCATTGCCAAAAACATATTCATCAGGACCTCCCTCGTCAAGAAGCTCTCAGAGGCACAGCAATTGCACTCTGTGATTTTACTTTTTTTTTTTCAATTGCGAACACAATTTTGCAAACTAGTCTGGTTTTATCAAAATACTTAACACAATTCACAAAACCCCACACCCAACCTGCAAAATACCACATATATCCTGCAAAATGAAGCACTGCAACAAAACTACACATAGCATTATCAAAATCAAACTTTTGCGTGAAATGGCAAATGTTTTGGGGCTGCACAATGAAAGCTCACGTCGTCCCTGGCCCATACTACAACCTACCGGTTTCTTTGATGGTCTTTGAAAACAATTGAACATTTTATACTATGAGCTGCATTGATTATTAAGTGCATTTAACATGTGAACCAATGCCAAAGTAAAGCAGTTAACATCAGCAGTGAGTGTAATGGCACCAGCTCTGTCCCTTCATTAGGCCCATGTTTTTTGTTGATTTGTTGAGGGAGGGGATATGAGATGTAAATAAGGCCTCTGTTGTCTATTGTATCCTGTATCTGTCCCTCTCCATTCCCTCCCCCTTCTAATTATCCTCTCGGCTGGAAAGTTCCCACAAGGCCTGACTGTTTTTTTTGTTTTGTTTTTTTTACCTTAAGCCAATCAAGTGGCATGAAGGCAGGGCTGTGTGAATGATCCATTGTCTGTCCATAGAGCGCTGGAGGGGAGGAGAGTGGAATTGTTTGGACTTTGAGTTCACCAATCACCACTATCACAGATGACACAGTGAGTTTCTGAATAGGGAAAAGAGTACAGACAAAAATCAGAGATTTTTTTATGTAACCTTTATTGCATCTGTGTTAGTTCTTGGTCCAATCATTACAAAATTGCAAGGGAACGGGTTTGAAAGACTGCCAAATCAAAAGAAAAATTCAATTTTCAAAAAACAATTTTTCAAAGGAATTAGCAGGAGATGGAAATCAATGACTTGGACAATGATTTATTATAATTTATCAATAACATCAGAGAACTGAATAATGTTCAGACTGACCCTAACCCTATATATATATATACACTCACCTAAATGAATATTAGGAACACCTGTTCAATATCTCATGAATGCAATTATTATGATTCAAGCTGATAGAAGAGCAACTTTGACTGAAATAATCACTCATTACAACCGAGGGATTACAAAAGTTTCATAATTCATGCAAAACTAATCAATAACCAATGCAGGACAAATTACTAGGACTACATTAACATTATGTGGAATAGCATAGCAGACTTATGATTTGGGAATGCTGTTGTCGGGACCTTACCTGTCCTGTGGCCAATTTTACATCATTCCTCTGGACTGGCATTGAATCAATAGAGTCATAGTGAGTACTGGAGCATATTGAGTCATCAGCCACCCAAATACCATATACAGTTATTTTATTATTTAACCTTCCTCCCCCCCAAAAAAAGGTTTTATGTTTGACCTCTAGCTTATTCATGTGTGTGTGAGAGAGAGAGAGTGCATATCTTGTCTTGTGAGTGATTAGAAGATGCTACACTTTATTGGCTTTTCATATACTGTAAGAATCATGGTAACAAAGTAGTCATGTCTCAAGTGTTACTACATATTTCTATGGGAATTACTTGGATCTGTATTCTAAAGTGAAGATCATGGGAACTAACTAGTAATGACTAAAGTGTTACTTACAACATACTTCTAAAGAAATTTTCTAAAAGTATACTATATAAAAGTTCACCAAACATCTCAAATGCTTCAAATAACTTTTGTGTTTGGTTGCACAAATAGTGACTAAATCATGTAGTAACACTTGAATCATTACTAGTTAGTTCCCATGATCTTTATTTTAGAATACGGATCCAAATAATTAGTAATTCCCATAGAAGTAAGTACCACTGTCATCTGTGCGCTATTACTTACTAATTTTTAAACTTTTTTTGTTAATAGTAGTTATTAGATTGTTAATTTTAGTGGCTTCGTGATTGTTAATTCCAGAGTAGCTCTGGCTTCATTGTTCTTCAGCAAGATGTATATGCTAAAGAGCCAAAAGTTATATACTCGTGGTTCTTTTATGAAGTTTTAGGAACTGTTTTTATTGCTACACTCTAAGATACGTATATGCATTCGTATCATTACTGGATTGGGAAATTCAAATTTGCATTACCTGCATGAGCACTGCAGTATAACTTCTCAGAGCACCTAAACTGACAACTATTGCAGATCCATTCAACATATTATGTATTTTAATCATTACAATGAATGCTCCAAACGAACACAGTATAAGCCTACTGAGATGAGTGCAGTAAAAGTGGGAATGTCCTGTCTGATGAGGGGAAGAGAAAAGAAAGTATGGCTGAGGGCCTAACCACAATATCTAAATATTGACTGTACAACTTGTAATCATGTTTGGTCTGCGGACAGGGTGAAAATAAACACCAGTGTGTGTGGTGTTCTCTCATCCCATAATAGAAACAGTGCAGACATGCCTTTTCAATATGTTTAGAGCATTCATAATTGAACATTCTTTAATCATTAAAAGGGTTAGAAGAAACGCATCTCATCAAGACTTAATATGCTGTGCTTGCCAATGAACGACCTTTGTGATTTTAAGCATATGGAGTTCATCAGAGTGGTCCTGCTTGTGTTTGAAAAGCATATTGATATAAATCTTTTTATGTGGGTGGTCTTAGGAATGGGAAGACCTTCTGCACTGAAACAGCAACACAAAACATTTCACTGTCTTAGTGTAAAGACAGTCAAATGTTTTATGTTGTTTTATGTTCTGAGCATTTTAAATTCATCTTTGTTGTTTCATTTTCATAATTCAACGTTTGGGGTGGGTAACAGCTTTGCCTGATCCTTCCTGTGCTGGAATGTTATTGATCAAATACTTATTAAAAACAAAACAAAACATCAATTTGGCTGAATATCAGCATTCAAGCAACATTTCCCACAAATACTGTTTTAATAGCAGTGTTAAAGGAACATTTCTGAAATAATAAGAATTCATAATAATTTACTTAAACTGTAATATGGATGCACAACTAAATTCACAACTTCAAGAATTTTGTACTGTGCCATTAATTGTTAGTATTTAAAATGATGATAACACTTTACAATAAGGTCTCATTGCAGCAGTAATGTATAAAATAATATGAACTTACTGATCAATACATTTGTTACAATATTAGTATTTAGTTAGTTCCATATTTTTCTCGATTGCTTAAACACTAACCCGGCTTTTGAACTAAAATGTCAATGCCAATATACACTATTCCCTGGTTTTGACACACGAGTCAGATTTCAAAAACACAACTCCCTTCATTTCTCATTGCCTAGACCATGTGGTAATTTAGAAAGCACTGGTATTCGATATTGTTCACTCAAGTCAGCTCAGCTTTAGCTCAGTTAGCACACAATTATCCAAGTGGAAACACTAATTAAGAGTCAAAATTGAACACACATCGATCAGATCCTACAATAGATAAGGTCGGTTTATGGAGTTTTGGAACAATGGATCCAGAAAGACATGAAGAAGTCGATGAGGGAGGGAGAGGAGGAGAAGGAGGAAGAGGAGGGAGGGGACGGGGACAAGCAGTCTCGGATGAAATTCAAGCCAATTTAGTTCACCGTGTCCTTTGTGTGTGTCAGTGATGGGAGGGCATCCCTCTCATTTCTAGTTTTGACTCCAAGAATGTTATTTTTTAGGCCAAGGATGGTATTTCAAAAATACGTGAAATATTCTTGTTCATCATATTGTATTCTTGAGAAGAGGCAATCCTGTCAAGTACCAACACTCATAACCATTACAATACAATTCCATATTAGAATAAGGTTGTGTGAGTGCTCTCTTATGGTCATATGATGATGTCACACATCTTACAGTAAGTAAATATATGTATTTTTTTTAGAGGAGAGATTTAAAAAAAGAGAGTAAAACAGAAAAAAAATATGTTTTTTTTGTGTGTGTGTGTGTGTGTGTGTGTGAGTGTTGTACTGTGTAGTTAGTACATGAATGAATAAAAGTCTGCCATGTATTGTGTGTGATGTCTGAGGGCAAAGTTTGGTTTTTCAGCAACAGTGAATGGTTGAGTGTAGAGCTTCGTTTTGACCTGAAAATAAGATGTTTGCGGAATTGGGTGAGACGGTATTTGTGTTTACTGCTTTAAGAATATGAGGCATAGTTTCAAGAAATATGTTTAAGCAATCGAGAAAAACTGTTATACAAATAAAGCTCATTGTTTGTTCATAGTTCAACGTGCATTAACTAATGTTAAAAAAATAATTTTTTTGATTTTAATTTAACATTAACTACGATTGACAAATGCTGAAGAAACATTGTTCATTCTATATTATGTTAACTAATGAAACCTTATATGGCAGTTACCAAAATGGCTTTCAGCTATTTCATGTCTTAGTCCCTCTCCCATTAATAACAATGTAACCAATTTTTGACTAAAAAACTATGAAAAATCAGTTTTTTTATTAAGTGGATAATAAAATGGAGTTTAATTTGATCCTTTATAAACCATATTTTCAAGCATTTTTTGTCCCATCCTATGTTTTTCATAGGGACAAAATGAATAACTAATTGGATTTGTGTAAACTGTTGAAAGTTTTGGGTTTACGCCATATTAATCCTTAAACCAAACAGCCTATTAATCCTGCACTGAGATTGATAGGGAGAGACAGGTAATAAGAGAGAGATGCCATGTTATTCTTCTGATTTTAACTCCTTCCAATGACCTTTGGAAGGGCTAAAGGGAGGAGCGCAAGGGGGTGCTTGGGGGAAGAAAAAGAAGGCAAAGAATGGAAGACGGGGAATATAAATTAGCTGAGGGACAATAGAGCAAGAGGGAAAACTGAGATCAGACCGAGTGTACGCAGAGTGTTGAACTGTGGGAATGACACTAACATTTACATTTAACTCTAAATTATTTTGTTATACACTTCTACTTTGTATCAAGGGGGACAGTCACCCAAAAAGAACAATTCATCATTCACATACTCTCCTATAGGTTTTTTATTTTATTTTATATACATTTAATTATTATTGCCAGACGATGTCCTCGCTACAACCTGTGTAGTCCAATGATGTAGCCTACTGCATTAAATCCAATACATAGTTGACAGTTCCCCCCCTAAACCAGTGTAAGGTTAGGGTGTAGGGTAGGTTTAGGGATGTAGCATGTAGGCGATCAACACGGTGATTGACATGAGTAATAAACATCTTTGGAATCGACAGTTTGCAATGAACAGGTTTGGTAAATATAAAGCACCTCCTATTGGATGATTTACATGATCAACAACACATTATATGTGTTGCAGCATCGCCCTCTAGTGTACAAACAGTTTAAAAGCATTTTCGAGAAAAGCTCCTGTTATTCTGGTTTATAATTTTTAATCTTATAATACGATTGTTACTTGCATTGTGGTTCAGCGACCTGGAGGTTCTGTTGACTAAGAGCTGGATTAAATTGATACAGCACATGCAAGAGAACATAACTGGATGTTCCACATAAGGAAAAACAGTAAACATCATGAATCAAAAGAAAGTCAACTTCTATCATTAGCTACTGTCATTTATTTGTAAGACAGCATGTTATTTTGTTATACAAACAGCAGACCTGAATTCTGCTAATGATGTATGGATGCCATTACTGTCTGTGAAGATGGCATTTCAGTGAAGTAACACATGACCAGTGCATACAGACATCGCAACTCCCCAATGACATTTTCGGATAATCATATTTTTACCCAGTATCTATCCACTGAAATGTGTGTGAGCAACATGGTGAGTTACACGTTAAACTATAAACCCCCCTTTCCCTCCCAAAAACACATATTCCGATTTGTTTTGATGGTTCGGGAAAATAAAAAGTTTCATTGTTCTAATGTTCCAGTAGGATATACAGAACTACAGAAGCAGCTATATAAAGTGACAAAGGCTGGTTAGCCCTGGATTATGCAAAAAAATAAGATCAGTCTTTAAAAATAAAGATTAAAAATTAACATTCCATGACATTCACAAGAAACATTTTTGTGCAATCTAGTCTGGCTAAATAGTGGTAAGACTAATTATTACAAAGTCCATTACATTAGGTTAAAAAAATAAGCATAAAACATTTTTCTCTTATTGAGGGAGGATTGTAAGATTGGTTTTCAGAATGTGACACTGTAAATGCAAAGGGGTTAAGTGTTAAAATAAATGCACGAATAATTAACTGAATCAAAAAACAAGGGTCAGTAACAGCAAGATCCAACCTCTGAATGACCTTCATATGAAAGCCATTTCAGGCTGCATTTTATCAAGAGTATTTTTTTCTTTTTTAAACTCAGAAAAATGACCAACACAGATGTTTGGGGTGCAAGCCAGCGCCTACAGACACAGAGGTCTGCAAATTGAAATTCTTTCAAAAGGAAATCATAGATTTAAGGCAACATTTCTCTATCTACAGGAAAATTCCTGATGTTGTAAATAGAGCAAATTCGTTGAAAAGTTAAAACCCAAAAAAATTCATCGTCAATCTTGGTGATTGTGCTAGGAAAAAAAACTAAACAAGCCAGCTCTACTGCTCATGCTTGCTGTGAGGCGATCTGTGCTCAGATGTGCTGTAGCATTTCACTACCTCTCAAGGGTGTGAAAACAAAACGAGCTGAAATCTGAATGTCAGTAGGAACTCTCTCGAAAACCTGGAAAATGGAGAGAAGCTATGGTCTGTACTACAAATCTTCAGATGTCTCCTTTTCTAGAAATCGCAACAAGTAGAAGCGCGTGGTTTGCAAGTGAATAAGAGAGAGTAAATTCCTAATCTGAATGGAAACAAATGCAAAGAGGGGTGGAAACACTTTGGTCCATGCATTACTTAACTTGGTTGGCTGTCATTTCTTTTCTCAAATTGAGAGCACCCTTTTTTCTTTTTGTTGTGTTCACAAAAGTTTTGCCTGATTTCAGAGCACAGGGCTAGTATTCACCACCTCTGTGTTTCTAGCCGTTCTCTCTCCAAAGAACCAGATGAATGCTATGGTCGGGCATGCTGGTGGCGAACACCAGGCCCGAATCGTTCTTGCCGTCCAGTCCGTTGAGCCAGGAGGTGACGCCCGGTAAGAAACTAGAGCCACGTTTGGATTTGCGGTAGGCTGGCAGTGGCCAGCGGCCCACGATGACCTCAGTCCTCAAGTCCATTACATAGAGGTGGTGGTTATCAAAAAGCAGAGCGAAGATATCTCCGAAACCAAGCAGAGAGAGGCTAGAGGGTTCCTGCTGTGGTTTGATAACTCTGTAAAAACGAAAAAAAATCAGTAAAAAATAAAGACAAGCCGCCTTATATTAAAACTAAAGATGATTGATCAGCAGGTGACCGGAATTGGCCAATTTTCACGTGATCGGCCATGATCGTCAGTCTGACATATGCCGATTTAATGGTGGTCAAATGCACTCGGGCACCACATGATTGACATCCCGCAACATCACACCGCAAATGTGAGCAGCACGCACTCTTTCTGGCCAGCATAATAATCGAGCGTTTGCAGGAGAAGAGGAAGTGCGGATTTCGGCGCAATCTATTGCTGCACTGCTCATACTAAAATGATGTTCACTGCTGAAAAGTGAAAGCACACTTTTGATGGACAAAATAAATATGAATTCACACAAAAGTGCCCAAAATGCACAAAATTTGCATGTCTGCTGTGTTATAACAAGAACTGGAGTATACGTCAGAAAAGAAAATGAATTTTCTTTTTGAAATGAACATTTTTTTAGTTGGATATTGGATGTGAAAAGAAAGAAACGGTTCTTCCATAACACTGCACTTAAGATGTGTGTGAATTTCCCACACCTGGAGTAATTTATATAGTCCTATTTTATAGTGATTACTGTTCAAAAATGTTCTATGCAAAATGTATAATGTTCTACTAAAGAAAAGAGAGGAAATAAACATTTGTGTGTGCTGTAAAGTGGTTCGAAAAATCGGCTAAAATCGGTATCGGCAGGTCAAACTCTGAAAAATCGAAATCGGAATCAAAACTGTAATTAGTGCATCTCTAATTAAAACTATTTTTTTTGTCTTTTGTCTTAAGAGACTACAAACAACTAAAACAGATGTATCAGTAAATTGGATCCATTCATTTGGTCTTAAAGTGACACTAGCCTAATATATTCCTGCTGCTGTCTGTAATGTTAAAGCTATACTGTGCAACTCTTTAAGTTTATTCTTAGCTAAAAACACTTAGTTCTTTCAAAAATATATGTGCTTATTAATGTATGTTTACTTCGTTCTAGTAATAAAGTATTCCCGTGAGTGTACAATATGCCATTGAAAATACATACGGGTAAGGGGTTCTAATGTCGATCGCCATGTTGCCCCTCCATCTCAGCCAAAGAGGGACATAACCGTTAATTCAAGCTTCGCCTTTTGCGTTTACGTTTGAGTTAACACTCATGGATGTGGTCGAACAGGAAGCCATGTTAATCTTGGACTACATTGGCCACCGTAGGAGTTAAAACGAAATCGGAATTGAGAGGAACAGAAACTAATATTCCCTGGATGGTCATATACCTTTTCACCGCTAGATGGGGGTAAAAATCACACAGTGTAGCTTTAATCAAACACACAATAAAAAGAGAAAATCACTTTTGCTGCTTTAACAAAGATTAATTATATTTAATTTATACAGTGAAGACTACGTGGTTTAGATTATTCAATTTCTATGACAGAATGCTATTTGACCGAACAGACAAACATAGCAGTGTTTGTTTTATTTGTATCTTTATTCTATTGTATTTATCTAATGCTCGTAATCTGTTTATTAGTTTCTATGCAGATGCACTTAATTCATCTGGTGTAATAATTTTTATTACGCAATATATATTCCAAAAAAAAGCAAAAAATAGTGATGTCAGTTAAACTAACGTTCAAATCAAATATCAATTCTTAAATTGCATAAATGATAAATGAAAAAACAATTTAGTTATTTTATCTATTTAAAACTCCACAAAGTCTTAAGATATTTATATAAAGTTCTTTTAACTTTACATGGCCTGCATTGAATAAAAATATTCAAACTTAAAGGGATAGTTCACACAAAACTGAAAAGTTGATGGTAGCCATTGACTTCCATTGTAGGAAAAAACAGTTTGATTACCAATATTATTTAAAATAATCTTCTTTTGTGTTCAACAGAAGAAAGAAACTTTAGGTTTGAAAGAAATTTCTTGCAGGTTTGAAATAAAGAAACACAGGTTTGAAACAACATGAGGGTGAGAAAATGAAAAAAATTAAAAAAAAAATGACAAAATTAAAAAAATTAAGTGAATTATACCTTTAAAAGCATTTGATTCAAATGGTTATTAGCAGCTTGGCTAAATAATTGAGGGGCTGAAATGAATGTACCTGATGACATCAAAACTTGCAAAGTCCCACTGATATATCCCCAGGTCTGAACAACAGACAATGTACCGGCCGTCGAACTGTAATCGTGGCTGCAAGCAGACACTGCGGTCTTCTGACACGGATAGGGTCTTTAAGCACTTACAGTTGATCTCACACCCTATAGGCCACACCTATGAAGAAACAGAGGCCGACAAATATTATGCTTATGAAGTCAGAATATCACAATATTGGTTCAACTGCAAGTTCTTTTTGTATGCTTTTTTTGTACAGTTAATGATCCAATGTGATTGTTAGGTTTTTTTTAGGATTTGAATGTGATTCATTCCAGAAAAAAAAGAGAGAAAACAATGAACAAAGTTCAAGAATAAATTTACTGATAGTATTTATTTTTTTTATTAATAATGACAGGGCAAACCCTTTATTTTAAGTGTAATGACAAACACTTTATTTTCGATAGTCCACTTTAGACATTCTACTATAAGTGACTTTTCAACTACATGTCAACTAACTGTCATTATAGTATTAGTAGACTGTCAGCTTAATATCTTCTAACACTTAATTTTTGTTGGTCCCCCAACAGACATTCAACTGACTATAAGTAAGTTGGCGACTACAAGTAAACTTATTCAACTAACCCAAAGCCTAACACCTAACCATAACCTAACAGTCTACTGACAGTCTACAATAATATACTAATACTCCAATGAGAGTTACTTGACATGTAGTTGAAAAGTTACTTATAATTAGTAGAACGTCTAAAGTGACTATCGAAATAAAGTGTAACCTCTAATTGTTCTGGACAAACTTCAGACTGAACAGCAATTTGAAAGACATTAATAGAGACTGAAAAATACTTGCACAAGTGATTTTCATTACCTTTATTTCATACTTATCAACACTCAGTAGTATGTAGTCACCAGGACTGTGCATCATGGACTCCACTTGGCTTTTTTGAAGGTGCACCTAAACCAGAGCAGATGTACAGAGTACATCTAAATAATAATAGACTACAATACTTCATTCCACAATGAGATCTGGTCAAAATAAGTCTTACCTTAGTGACCCACTCTGTGTGTCCAGTAAGAGTGTTGACACAGGTTCCTGCAGACAGGGACCAGACTTTTACAGTGAAGTCTGCTGAACCGCTGACCAGGGTGTCCAACTCATCATTGTAGTCTATGCTGAATACTGCAACAACAGAAAAACAGTTTTTTATGCATATGCAATGTTTTGCTGGCATTACATTACCTTAAAGGTCAGCAGTGACAAAACCTAAATCATAAGCAAAATCTCAGATCAAGGTCACTTCTTTGTGCTATTAACCAACAAAGCTTGGCACCAACCTGCCCCAGTATGTCCTCGGAATTGCTGGATTTTGGCACCAGTGCTCCATTCCCAGCATGCAATGGTGTTGTCAAAAGATCCTGTTACCAGTTTTTGCTCATCAAATTTGACAGTGGCACAAGTGTGGGTCTGAATGCCATAGACACACTGACCTGTACGCACATCCCATAGTTTGGCTGACAGGTCATCAGAACCTAAGTGGAAGGACATCTACAATCAGCGAGCTACTAAATGTGATCCACATTTAAAACATGCAATAACTCCATGCTTCACCGCCAGTAAACCACCAGCCATTCCTATTTAACTTTAAAATAAATGAATATGATTACGTGGATTCAATGTACAGTGTTAGTTTAGTGCGAAAGAGCAAATATTGCTAGGTAAAAATAAAACTACAGCTTTATTGAGTTCAATCTATGAAAAGACATAAAACAATTCAATGCCCTTCAGATGAACATGTTCTATAATTTTTAATGACCCCAGGATGTAACAAGAATCCATAAGGAGCACTATAACTCATCCTCTCCCACATTTAAAATTACAAACTGAACTTATGAAAGGGACAATTAGCGCTTAATGTCGTAATGCAACAGAAGTAGCAATCTTTTCTACGGTTTTTGAATGGATTATAGAAAAAAAAATTGTGCAGTTGCTACTTTCTATCTATCGCTTCACTTGTTCATAAGACAAAGAAAGATCTGAATGCAAAGGTATGGGATCTATTTGATTGGAGAAGTTTGGTATACATTACACCAGAGGGAAGTCAAAGTGACTTCCCTCTGGTGTAAGGGAAGTCAAATTGAATTGTCAAACGCTTTGACAATTTGATTTTAAAAAATTAGATTAAAAAAAAAATTATCAATAAGATGCATTTATAAATTAGATGAATTTCCATATGGACTGGATCTCCTTTTGACCACAAGACCAGGAAAAACAACCTCTATAAAAGGTTCCGCACCTGTGCAGAGGAGCCCATCCCGGTAGTAGAGAGCATATACCCGAGCACTGTGTCCAATCAGAGAGCTAGTCTCAAACGCATCCTCCTCATTCAACTGCTTCATGCGCAGTTTGGCCTTCAGATAAACACCCTTCCAGTGCCCCGCATCCTGGATGGACTCATCGATGCGCCAGCCGAGGTCTCGACACACGCTCTGCCACACTTCTGTACAGGTATTGATAACCTTATTCCACTGCTTGCACACCAAACAGCAGGTGAGCAGGGTCTGGGGGTCCAGCCAGCGGAGCAGGTAAAATGCCAGCTCTAACGGCAGCAGGCGGAGGAAATCCCGCTTCAGCAGCGCTTCCAGCCCGTTGGACAGGTGTCGCAGCTGAGCAGCGCCGCTCAGTGAGATGAGGTGGTCCAGCGATTGGTTGCGCTGCTGGTCGCTTAGCGCCAGGAAAGAGGTGGAAACCGACTCCAGCCACCTCTCGAAAGCCGCCTTCTCCATGGGCACATGAGGGCGTCAACCTGTTGACAGATAACAGCGGGTTAACATCAGAAGCATACTTTTTGCAGTGCATATAACAAACAATGATATACGGAGTAAAAACAAGGCTATTCCAACTATCAAGAGAAAAGAAAAAAAAAAACGTAAAAAAAAAAAAACACATTCAGATTAGATAATGGAGGTCTATCAGAGAAAAAAACCTTTCCACTCTGAAGGACACTTTGAATAATATAAATGCCATCAACATTGCTTCACAGAATATAAAACATGATGTGAAGGTAATGTTACTCATTTTTCTGAAGAACAAACCATGACGGTGTTGTTTCAAAGTCTATGTTCCTCCTATGCTTCATATGGACTGTCAAACCATAAACCTAACCCTACCAGTAACCTAAGAGGGAACAGATATAACGGTAAATCAAGACTGAGATTACTTGACTGAATCTGACAGGATGTCATGTAATTGAAATGCAGCTCTCTGGATTCCAAACACATTTGTTGACAAAAAGTCGCTAGCTAGCAGGTCAGAGACTTAATTAAACACACACCGGTATATACATTTATGTTGACCAAATAATCTCAATAAGACGGCCAGCAGATATTCAAAGATAATACATATTAAAAACACAATCTTAACGGTGAATATACAATAGAGTAGGGCAGAAATAATCACCATTTCCAGTAGAATCAGTCAGTGGAGAGCGCTAGCTAGCCGCGCTAGCTAACAGGTGTCAACACAAATCGATATCGCTCTACAAAAAAGAAACTTTTCGTTTTTGTGGTTGAGTCACAGTCTGGCCTTACATTTCATTTAAGCGACGAACAAAGAAAAGGCGAAACTCCAAGCTAAATGACATCAAACAAATCTCTAGAGTCCTGAGCTAGCATTATAACATACAATACTGTATGAATCTAACGGAAACGCTTTGACTTTAAATGTATTCGATCTCTGTCCGTTCACATTTCCGGAACGTAATATCATACGTTAATTTAATGCACATTATTGTTGTGGGTTATTTTTCTGTTTTTGGAGTTAGCTGGATAGGCTAAGATAGGAAGCCTCCGTTAGCAATGAGGAATTACAGCGACAGGAAGTTGCAGGATGAGCAATTTGACACGAGCGGGAGGAAGTCAGGAGGAGTGTCCGCCGCCTGTCACTTTTTCAAACCATGACTTTGAATGAGTTTACATTCCTTAAAAACTGTATGCAAAAATGTGAATCATATGCAAAAGCATCATATGATGCTGTAGCTAAAAAATCTTAATCGAGTTAAAGTCACACAGTGTTTATTGTGGCGCATCATTCGGTGGTCAACAGGGGGCACACTATGCCAACAAACAGACAAATTTAGTGTAGCTACGTCTAATTTTCATAGCTAATTTTACGGTTTTAGTAAACCCAAATTACTCGTAATTCGGATAGTCGTTCTATATTAAAAGTTCAGGGTCGGTGAGATATTTGATGTTTTTTAAATGTGTTCTCTTATATGACAAGGCTACAAAACAGATATTGTGAAATATTGTTTACTGTTTTCTATCGTAATATATTGAAATATAACTTAATTTTGTGATGGCAAGGCTGGATTTTCTAGCCTGGTTCTACCAGACTCTCGTACATACATTTCATTTGTACAGAGAGTCTGGCCTCCCTCAATTGAGAAACGTTTCCTTCCTTGTAGGCGGGTTCACTATTAAAGTTCAAATCTATTGGATCTGCCCAGAGTCACTCACGATCTGCCATAGCCAATCGCTAATGTGTGGTCGTGAGTGACGTATGTCATGCGCCGAAACGGCTGGAAACAACCATAGACAGTAAAAGAAACAACAAGTCCGAACTCCTAATGATCAGAGGATTAAATTTACAATAGGATTTCAGTCAACGAGAGCTGCAGGTTTTGTTAATCTAGGAACAATTATTAATTCGAAATGTATATTTGACATGAAGGACAGTGATTATTCAGTCAATGCTGTAAGTTACAGTGAATGATCAGTCTGTCTGCAGATGTGTAATAAACAACAATTTTTCATATTACGTAATTTTGTTTCTTAATTACCTTAATTATGGTCTTCAAAGTATGTGTTTGTACATTTTTATATGGCATTTAGTTGTTTTTTTATTAAAACAAATTAACCATTGACATCTAAAACTGAAAATCAAATATAGTCTCCAAAGTATGGGTTTTCAAATTTTTATTTATGACAATTTTTTTTTTAAATCACAACCAATTTGTATGATTTACAACATGTAAAACTGACACACCAACCTCCCGTACGAGTGCACAAAGGGGCTCAAAATGTTCTATTCATCACAAGAATCAGTAAATTTACTGTTGGGAATCTGAGCGACTGACATGACTCCTGAGCGGATCTTCAACAATAGTTTAGCAGCCAGGACTCGGGGCTTCCGAACACCGCGAACACCAGGCTAAAGTCCAAAATGTCACGGTCATTGTGCACGAGCTGCCCAGCACAAACTTCCAACCTTTCTGCCTCCTTCACTTGGTCCTCAGTTGTGCAACAAGAGGTGAGACAACAACAATCCGGCTTTAAATTCTGTATATTCGGCAGTTTCTTTTCCAACAACGGACCGAATAGCTTTTCTCACGTCTTTCTCCGCTGCCATTACTGACTCAAACTGACGCACTACATCAACGTCATCGTTCTCAGCCACTCCCTCTATTCGCTGATTGGTCCTACAAAAAATTGATTTCTGGAAACCTAAGGATATGGAGCGATCCCAGACGCAGTACTGAAGGAAAATGTAATTGAGCGGAAGTGCGTAGGCGGGCGCAGCCAGGCTATGGATTTTCAGCATCCTCTCATACTTGTCTTCTGTGTCAAATGATCCTTCAGAAATCATTCTACTACGCCAATTTGCTGCTCAAAAATATGTAGTATCAAATGGTGCAGCTTAATGTTTTTTTGTAGAAACAGTAATATATATGAGGAACCCTGTTCTCCCACTTAGAAATCATGGAGGGGTCTGAATAGGTGCATGTCCACTGTGAGAGACAATCTAAAAAATAAATAAATCCAGAAACCACAATATACTATTTATTTGTATGATACAGCTGCAGATAAGTATTTGAACACCTGTCTATCAGCTAGAATTCTAAAGGCCATTGCACACCGAACACGAAATATTCGTATGCGTATTTTCGTGTTCGTCAGCTTAAAAATTCGTCACGCATAGAAACCTTGCACACCGAGTCCGTTGCGTATTTCTTAAACCTTTGCGGGAAAAACGCAAAAATACCAAATGGATTCGTCAAGCAGTGAGGATGATTTTTGCCCTCTCTCTTATTGAAAAGGGAAGAAAGAGAAAATATTACGTCCATCCAATCCTGAAATTGCGCCGAGAGGAAGGAGAGTTCCTTATAAAGGAGTTGCGAATTTATCCTGAGCGATTCAAAATTTACCTCAGAATGTCAGTGGGACAGTTTGATGCTTTGCTAGCGATTCTGGAGCCACATATTAAAAACAAGACCACCAATTTCCGTGAACCAATCGATTCTGAACGGAGACTGGCAGTGTGTCTGAAATGGACCAGGTATGGACACACACACACGGACAAACACACACCCGCGCGCGGCCCGTTGGAAGCGCTGGGCAGACAGAACAGCTAGGCTGTTATTGTGTATTGTGCCCAAATAATACATTAGTTATCGAATAGGCTGCTCAATCACACCTTATTCGATCCTAAATTTCAATCTGATTGAAAGGGGAGGTTTATTAATTTCATAATCCAATATAGAGAAGAGAACATAAACACTTGATCGAATTGAAAACCGAAACTGAAAGCACGGCGCATATGTGCATAAGGACGAGCTCCCCCGGCCCTGAATTGTCAAAAGACCTCTCAAAATGCTGGCTCTGGATGCGAAAAACGCAGAAAATCGAACCCGATCCGATTAATTTTATGACGGACGAAAGTTTCGGAGGCGGTGTGCAAGCGTGACTGACATAACGTGAGGTCGAATTTTTTTTTTAACGTGCGAAAATTTCGGATGCGAATTTCGGACTCGGTGTGCAATGGCCTTAACCAAGAATCCAACCAGTAACATACCCGCCAAGACCAAAGAGCTGTCCAAAGACACTAGAGACAAAATTGCACACCTCGACAAGGCTGGAAAATTGCCAAGCAGCTTGGTGAAAAAAGGTCCACTGATTGAGCAATCATTAGAAAATGGAAGCATGAAACATGACTGTCAATCTCCCTCGGACTGGGGCTCCATGCAAGATCTCACCTCTTGGGGTCTCAATGATCCTAAGAAAGGTGAGAAATCAGCCCAGAACTACAATGGAGGAGCTGGTCAATGACCTGAAAAGAGCTGGGACCACTGTTTCCAAGGTTACTGTTGGTAATACACTAAGATATCATGGTTTGAAATCATGCATGGCACGGAAGGTTCCCCTGCTTAAACTAGCACATGTCAAGGCCAATGACCATTTGGATTACTCAGAGGAGTCATGGGAGAAAGTCACGTTGTCAGATGAGACCAAAATAGAACTTTTTGGTCATAATTCCACTAACTGTGTTTGGAGGAAGAAGAATGATGAGTACCATCCCAAGAACACCATCCCTACTGTGTAGCATTTTTCTGCACATGGGACAGGGCGACTGCACTGTATTAAGGAGAGGATGACCGGGGCCATGTTGCAAACACAGGCTACTGTACCAAATATTAACAACGATTTTCTCTGGTGCTCAAATACTTATTTGCAATTGTATTATACAAATAAATAGCTCAAAAATCATACATTGTGATTTCTGGATTTTTTTTTTATTTTATTTTTTTTTAGATTATGCTCCTCACAGTGGACATGCACCTACAATGACAATTTCAGACCCCTCCATGATTTCTAAGTGGGAGAACTTGCATGTTCTGGATGTTCAGGATATGTTCAGAAATAACAGGATGTTCAAATACTTATTAGTTTTGTCTTAACCAGGAGCGCAGGAAGTGGGGTGCAGCACCCGTTTTCACAGGATTGTAACTGCAAAGTAAATTTGTATTGTTAGTTCTCTTAAGAGAGCTTCTCTCGTTCTGCGTAATAACTTACGCTAGGGGAAAAAACTTTTTTTCCACGAAATATTGAAGCCAAAAATTATCTTTAATTTTTAGTTTTACACTGTGTTCCCCTACCATAAGATATTATGCAATACTCGTTCCTTCTTCTAGAGAGAACCGAGGTTACATTAGTAACCGAGTATAATATATTAAATCATGTTCCACCATCAGTGTTGTGTTAACTACTGTAGGCACTAGACAGGTTTTTGTGTTAATTTCTATTATTTTCCTGTTGCTTTGTAGGCTCTTTTATAGTATATGACACTTTGAACAGCCCAATAACCCTTTTATTTTTTGTATAGCCTACGTGGGACATATGGTAGCATCTCAATCAAGTGACAAGGGAGGAGTTTTAGTAGAATGGCTGTGCATCTGTTGAAAAGATCTCTCTGCTGCATGTAAACACAAAACAGTACCACGCTCCTCTCCCATACCTACCAACTGCTGTTAGCAACATGTCCACCGAGGCATGACATGACAAAAGCGAGGTGACCCTACATTCCAAGGGCAGAGGGTATCTGAGCCCAAGCAGCCCATTAAAATGGATGTCATGTCAGGTGAGGCTGAACCCAGATAGCAAGAAAGTCTAGATATCTGGTATAATCAGTCCTCAAAGTTCTCATTATGGGCAATGGGAGCTTTGACTGGGAGTAGCGTTTGCACTGAGTAATGATAATGATGTTTAGTAATATTACTGTAACAGGGACAGTACAGAAGTCAGACCAAATGTGAAAAGGCCTAATATATTTTCTCCTTTCTAGTGCCTTTCGTGTTCTGAACCAGCTTCCGTTAATCATGGCACTGATATTTTCCATGATTAACATCTGGTTGGTTTAAATGATTATTGAACAATGCCAAGTGTTTCATTTGTGAAATGCAAGCAGTGAGGTTCTGTCTGCCAACTTGAAACTTTCCATCTCCATTTTTGGTCCTTTTAGTCTGGAATCTTTTCATACTGCATGTTTATTACAGCCGTTTTTATTAGATGGTGGAGTAAGGGATAAATTTGACAAAGTCTTTTTGACAAAACAATAATACAGACAACAACTGTTACTGAAAAAGGGTTAAAGATAAACAAAGACTGTAGTTTTAAAACATGACCTTGTTGTGATTATTATCTAACGTGCGAAATAACTTCCTGTAGAGCAAGATATTTTCTTAAAAATGTTTATTTAAAGATACCCCATTAACATTATATTTCATTAACATTATTCTATGTCATTTACTGCAGTGTGTGACATTACAACAAACTCAGCAGTGCATTTGTAAGTGGAGAGCAGACAGACCTTGTAACATTTGAGATGACCATATTAGAAATATGAAATGTTAAGCTTTAAAAAATACATAAGGGTTGTTCATTTCAACATGACCTGAAATCTAAATATACCAACACCGTACAGACCTCCGAAAACTGTGGGCATGTGTAATGCTGCTGAATGCTATATATGCTATTGTACAACATGAATCTCATTCTTTCATACAAGCTAAGCTGTCTGAAAAGAATGCAGTTTTGAATGCATTGCCCACACCATCACAACAGTCATATGCAATACTGTAGAAAAGTTGCATTCAACATCACAAGGTGTACAGTGACTGCCTGTGGGTCAAGCGTGGCAGTAGATACAGGTTCAATATAATATCATGGCTGTCAGAATCTCATAAGGCTGTTAGAGTTTCATAAGGACTAATGATCAGACTTTGTTTATTGTTGAAGTTTGCTGATTTATAGACAGCTCTTATAAATAAATACGACTGAAAGCATGTTATTTAATGCCAGTGCTGGCTGGAGCTCTGTGGAGCAGTGCAACTTCATCTTCGTTCTTCATGTAGTAGTGAAGACTAGACTAAAATCCAGCTAGGTCCACCCACTTCTGACAAAGACCACAGCAATATAAGGAACTCATTCATTGGTGTTAAGGATCTTTGAGTTATACATTTAATAACACTGATGTGGACACCCTCTAAGTCACTCTTCGTGTGATTGTCTCTTTTTCTTTACAAAAAGGGCACTGAACCCATCAGACCTCATAGGTTCTTTTACTGTACATCATTTTTCCAAAATGAGTTCTGAAAGGGTTCACACTGTCTGGAGCGGCTTTTGGTTTTCCAGTGACAGCTGAGATGAGTGATTGACAGCTGATCCTCTCTCAAGAGCAGCACCCACAATGCACCTTCGGGTTGGCAGGCCAAAGAGATTGGTGATAGGTCAGCTTTCCTCCACAGTGCCAGCAGAATAATGTATAGTAAATGTATTGTATTGATTATCTAGATAGGAATGAAAGACAGAAACTTTACATTTACATAGAGCTAAGGAATCAGAGTGGAAAAGAGTTTTCTTTCTATCCCTTAACTTAATTTTTCCAGCAAGCGGGTCTATGGGCTGCCATTAACTTGAAGAGCGGAAGAAAAATAATAAGAACGCCAACGATTTCAATAGGTACTACGCACTTTCAGTGCTTGGCTCCTAATAAAATATAATAAAATAACACTGATGTGTTCATTTATGAACTTCATTGTAGTAAGCAGGCTGGTACATTGCTGTTATCAGCATTTGGGAAAATGTGAAATGGGACTCACTGAACTCCACTTTGAGATGGGCCTACACCAGGCCATCATAAAGAGAGAGTGCCTGTACAATAGAGGGGTCCCCCTTGGAGCCCTCCTGAAACTCCTGCAGCGTCAGCAATCCATCTGCATTCTGTTGACAAAAGAAATAGAGTTAATCTTAAGTCACATCATTGTTTTCAACCACAAATACTAGGTATTAAATGCTTCCAGTTGTGGCAGAATATAATGCAGGGAACCAGGTAGAGAAATTTTTTTAATAATGTATTCAAATCTTTTTTTTTTCTCTCTCAAGAGCTTCGCGTTCTTTCAAAGGTTCTTTTATCAAAGCTTTCCGAGAGCCTCTAGAAGAGCTTCAATTTCGCGTCTTTCATGTGATGTGCCTTCTGTGCTTCTAGTGCCTGACAAAGGAAAGCTCTCCTGACAATCACAGCAAAAATAAGCCATTGTATTGAGCCTATAGCTATGCATACTTAGTCATAGGAAGTCATGGGATTGGACTGTTAAACAATGAAAATGATCATAAAGTGCAATTCACTATAAATGCAGTACATTTTCCATGTTTACTTTTTAAAAAGACAACTATTTCTACAAGTAATGATGTGCATGGGAGAAATAAGGAAGTGTTAGACAATAATATACTGCATTTTAACCTTATCCATCATAGCAAAGATGCGGTCGACTCTTTTCTCTGGAGTGTTTTCCTCCTCAGGTAACTCCACTGTGTTCCCCTGCAAGACATAAAGATGTGAACTTCTGCAACGTAAGCGATTTCAGCAGTTAAAATATGGCAAATTATATTAATTCATTAGCATTCAAAGGTAAAACACAATACATGGCCAAATTGAAAAATTTAAAAATCTGCTGTAAATGGATTTTTACAATAAGGTTCAATAACATTATTTGATGTATTTGATAATGGACTATCAATGAACAAGATTTATTTACTAATGGTAATTTATGAAAATAGTACTTGTAAATGTTTTATATATTAGTTAATCTGAAAAAAAAAAAAACATATTGTTGTAACATGTACATTCTGTTATGTTCTGTTTTGGCCGAGTTCCCAGTTATCATTTGTTTCCCTGGTTGTTAATTAGTTCCCACACCCGTTTTGTTCTCCCTGTGTATTTAAGCCCTCAGTTCTTTCAGTTCATTTTATATATACCGTATGTATAATATATACATGCATACATACATATAACCTAATTTCAGAACACCACTACACTTCACTGATATATACATTCAAATGAAAGAAAAATGGTTTTACTTTAAAAAAAAACAAATCTACTGAAAATATCTCATCTTCATATGTCCTCAAAGAAATTAAAGGGTTAGTTCACCCAAAAATGAAAATTAAGTCATTAATTACTCACCCCCATGCTGTACCAACCCCGTAAGACCTTCGTTCGTCTTCGGAACACAAATGAAGATATTTTTGATTAAATTTGAGAGCTGTATAACTACCACATTGGCTAAGGGACTGCCTCTTGACGGCCCAGAAAGTCAATGAAGAAAATGTTTAAATATCCCAAGTGACTACCGTGGCTCAACTATATGTTTATCAAGCGACGCGAATACTTTTTGTGCGAAAAAACAAACAAAAATAACGAGTTTATTCGACTATTTCTTTTCTTCCTTGTAGGCCAGAACGAGAATTCCTTAGATTTCCACGACGCATGCGCGAGATTTGCGATCTGCTTACGCCAGCTTACACTACTTCAGATCGCAATTCTCGCGCATGCGTCGGGGAAATCTATAAGGAAGTCTCGTTCTGGCCTACAAGGAAGAAAAGAAATAGTCGAATAAACTCGTTATTTTTGTTTGTTTTTTCGCACAAAAAGTATTCGCGTCGCTTGATAAACATATAGTTGAGCCACGGTAGTCACTTGGGATATTTAAACATTTTCTTCATTGACTTTCTGGGCCGTCAAGAGGCAGTCCCTTAGCCAATGTGGTAGTTATACAGCTCTCAAATTTAATCAAAAATATCTTCATTTGTGTTCCGAAGACGAACGAAGGTCTTACGGGGTTGGTACAGCATGGGGGTGAGTAATTAATGACTTAATTTTCATTTTTGGGTGAACTAACCCTTTAATGGCACCTGTAATTCATTTTACAGCACAGGTAATCAGGCCTCTTTGCCAATTGTACTGTATATGATCAGAACCGTGTGAAAACATCTTGTGTGATCAAAAAAAGCACACAATGATATTAAGCTTCCTGGAAGCTAGTGTTTGCAAAGGTAGTCATTGCAGTCTCTTCATCAATCAGATGCTCATAATCGTTGCATGTTGGCCTTCCAAGAAATCAATTTCATTTACTCAGTTGAAATAGAAAGTTACAGTTCAGTGAGAAGCATATGACTCACCACCATCTGGTAAATGGCATCTACGATGTTCAGCATCTCATCTCGGGTTATGTAGCCATCATTATCAAGATCGTAAAGTTTAAAGGCCCCTGTGATAGCAATAACAATCAAGCAGATTAAGACAACTTTCTCTCTATCTCTCTCTAGCTGCCACATCTTCAAAAGAGCTGACAACAACAGTGTAGCTTCTCATTCGTAAACTAATGTCAGACTTTCCTATTGATTATTTGCCGTGATCATCTTTTCATTAGACAAGATGATAAATTAAAATGGAGTGACAAACTTGTTCAGATCATCTATTAGTGCATTCAGTGTGGGGAAAGAGCCGTCTTAATATAGGACACTGAAATGTTACTCAGTCTTCAGTTTTCTGCAGATAAATAAACACATATCTGGTGCAGAAACAAGAAAGCCTTGAGGTTCTGACGACATTATGAGATTTATAAAGAAATTCTGGTCTTACATCTGAGTTTTTCATCCAGTGTTCCTCTAGATGTGACAGACAGAGCTTGAATAAACTCTGAGAACTCAATGCGCCCATCCTGTGGATACACAACAGAAAGATGGCATGGGAGCTGCTGATAGGTGAAATGTAAAAAGGATTAAAAACAAGCAAGGTTTGATTTTATACAGCTTAGACCTAAAATGAAAGAGACAGCAAAGATGGCAAAACAACTGCAGAGTGACACAGCAAAAAACAGCAGTTAACTGCCTGGAGTCGGCTATCGCACATGCGCGACAAACTCACTTTTTTCCTTATCAGTGCAAAAGACACTCAAATTACTCTGTTGATTTTGATCTTACATATAAGTGTTATACATCATTTGATCCTGTTAAGTTTCTCTTTTTGTGTGGATATTCACAATAAAAACAAAGTGTTCTGTTTTTTTGTAAAATAAAGAAAAATAAACATGATGCAAATTTTGCCTTCTCTCTGTCAGTGAAGTTCATTCTGAAATGCTTTCATAAAAAATGAACTGTAACTCAGTCAATACTTGTCACACAGGCACAAAAGATTTTTCGTTATGAAGCTGAAATTCTCTTTTTTTAAATTAAGTAATTTATATAAAAAACAAATATTGTCAGCTTATGTAATCTGTATGAAAAGAGAGAGGTGTCAGTCTTTTTCCTTTCAGCTAATTATAGCTTGTTAATGTGACCCTGCCCACTGAAAATGTGCGCTATTCAAACGCAAATATTGAGGCAAACCATGCCAATGCCCACATCAGCTTAATAAGAATCACAACATCCAGTTTAATAAGAAAAAGAAAAACAACATCCAGTTTAATAAGAATCTTGCACTTTACCTCGTCTTACTGGGCTGTGATGAATAATACTATCGTAATAATCCTAGAAAAGTTACCTCAGAAGTGCTGGTAGTTTCATTTCGAGGAGCACGGATTCAGCTGATGTAGTAAGTAATTTATTCGTACGTGCTTTGTTCTAATCGCGTTATTGAATAGTGTCTGTAAACTGCACAAAGACTGTTTAAATATGAATTGTGTGTCTGTCAAGGAATGAATGAATGAACGGTGTGATATTATTTACTACTGCTGTCTATCGGATCTGTGCATTCATTCACTCTCACTCCTACATTAATAAACATTATTTTTACATGAACACATCCAAACTATATTGCTATCGCCTACTGAGATTTGTTCTAATCACAATATAGAATAGTATCTGTAATGACAACATTTCGTCGACTAGTTTTGGATAGATTATTCTGTAGTTTTTACTATAAAATAGACATCAAATAAGCCTTTGTTAGACAGTTTCTGCTCATATGTTAAATATATAATATATTTTATCAAAACTAAACTAATCAGCTGTTATAGTGTTTGTTCCAACGCATGTATTTATACATATATAGTCCTTGCATTCTTTCTTGTGTGACACACCTAAATGAAAGGCTTATTATTAAGGGTCTTTGGCTTCTCAGGTGTGAACCACCAAATTATTCATTCACCCTTTCACGCATATTGCCAATGATTAGGCAGGATGACTTTTAAGCAAAAACTCTAGGCGACAACATCCATTTGTCCAAAAATTTGTGGACAGATATTTAGTATGTGTTTTGTGGCCTTATTTCAGAAACTTTCATTTTTAGTTTTTTTCAATAACCATGCATAAACAATATTCTCTCAAAAATACATACATCTTGCTCACATATGACGGTAGCCCTGTTTCTGCTAAACAGAGTGTAATTTCACCTGTGGCATTAATATGTTTATAAGCAACAGAAAAAAACACAAATGTCAGGGCATGTCAAAACATCTCAAGGACCCCAAAAACGCCACAGACCCCAGAGGGTTAAATAAAGAAGCAGCAGGGAAGGCTGTTATGTTACCTGTTGTTTAATAGCAGCTTACAAAAGGTTGGAAATGTCATTTTAACAGTGATTCTGAAGTGTGTCTAAAAAGATTGTAGCACACAGTCCCACTGGGAGTATAGAAACATCTGAGAATACTATACAGGGGCATTGTCTGTCTGTCTGTCACACTTTGTTTAGTGTGTGTAATATTCTCTATAAAGCTCCTAAATGCACCACCTTTTAGCCATAAGCAAATTGTTTAACCATAAACAAATACTCAATTCTGCAAATCTGTTGAAGCTGCATTTCTACAGCTAAAATGGAAATGCATAAATGTCCCTGTCGCTGAGTAAATGAAAGTGAATGGAGTGTTTACACACTTTATTTTGCTGTTTAGTCAAACATCTCTTCAGGGAGAGACTCTAGTGGTGTATATTTTTCGCCACTAGCCTCAGTAAAGAAGATAACAAATCAAAACAGTGCATATCAAAACTTTTATTGTAAAACTGCAACTTTAAAAAGCCCCACTAGGCTAATATAACAGTGCTTTTCTTTTATTGATATTTCCTTTTTCAGCATTTTGTTACCTTGTTCTCGTCAAAGACGTTGAAGACAAAGGTTGCAAACTTGGTGGGGTCGCCGAAGGGGAAGAATTGCTTGTAGATCTTCTGAAAGCCAGCTGCGTCCAACTGACCACTGGGGCAGTCTTTAATAAAACCCTTATACCTGCCAAAAGGACAGGAAAAATAAACATGATAGGAAGAGTGGGAAAGAAGAAAAAAGAGAGACTTTCATTATGCAAGGATGAACCCAAAGACAAAACACAGACTTCCCTCCCCTGTGAAGATAAACTGATAGCAGTGTTAGAGTGCTAGCAGTGTTACAGAACATATGGTCAGGACATTTCAAGACAAATTGAACCTCTGTCACTCTATCCTGTAATTTTCAGAAACAACACTTCAGCGCAGTTTATTTTCTGTATGCTAATTGATCCCTGAAAAATACGAGGACTATCATTTAGGATCATTTCCGGGCAATTTGGGGCAAAGGGTGAAATTGTTGCCCAGGATATTACAGTGCATGTCAGTCTTCAATTGCAAATGAATTTCAAGGAACATCAGTTTGGATTCTGCATTTTAGGAAATGTTTGATACTAATACTTAGCATGTAAAATGCAAACACTTTTTAAAAACACGTATTCACAGAAAATTGTCTTTTCATTACTTGTCAGTTTAAGTCATTGTACAAAATGGCCCTCACAATCATTATAAAAATCTCCAGCACGTTGGGGTTAAAATACTTGATTAGCTAATTGTTCATTACCTCCTAAGAGGGGCTTTCAAAGAGACATTTTTCACATTATGCTAATTTACAGTAGAGTGATGACAGAATCCTGTCACAACATATGTGCAGCACAATTTAATAAGTAACCAGTGCTTTAAATGATCAAAACTAAATAGCTCAAGAAAATCTTTTAAATTGTGTTTCAGATGGGAATATATTCCATAATACCACTGTTATACAGTCAAATAAACGTTTCAGACCTAATTATTACGTTTATTGAACGTTTATTTATTAATTATTACGTTTATTTACGTTTACTGTCTGGAATACTTTGCAGAATTGTCTGGTGAATTTTTTTTCAAAATTGCATATTCGACCGTTGCTTCCGCAACCAATATGTTTCCCTCCACACCTTCTTTCCTTTCACATGATAATAATCTAAACTCAAATCACTATTTAATGCACAAGGATTTACTTGCTAGCCACAAAACAAGTAGTATAATGTGTAGTTAGTCAGTCATTATCATAAAATAAATGTCTTCAGGATGACTGACAGTCCATTAAAAATAAGGGTTTGGTATTGTTTAAAATTGTAGTTACAAAAGTTATTCAGTCAAGAAGAGTTAGTTGGTTTTCTCTTTGTCTTTTGTTGTTTGATTAACGTTATTATAAAGGACACGGCAGAAGAAATATTAGGTTGCTGTCACTTCCAAGTTGCACGGATCCAATAAACTACTAGACTGTTACACATGCGCTTTCTTTGTCAACTGTTTTACGTTCTGTTTACACATATTTTGACATTTTTGTATGTATTTGTCCATTTAAGTGCAAAAAGACGTGGAAGAGAACTTAGCACTATATACATTTTCTGTGCGCATGTTTTAAAATGGAAATTTTATAAAATCACATTTTCTATGAGTGCGGTTTGGATGTGTCGATAAGATAAGAGGAATCAAAATTTATCCAAGTGAAAGTTATCCAAAGTATCCAATTCCTCAGCTTAAGTATCCGATTCCAGATTTGGAATCCATTTTCAGTTCCCAACTCAAATTACCTCTAGATTCAAATGTCTATTTTTAACTAAATCGGAAAGACACGAAATCAACAATGCAGCTATAATCCACAAAACCCTCCATGTGAGAGCAAATCCTTGTTTTCTTTATCAAAAGCACAATTCAGCCACTTTGCTTAAGAAACAGTAAAAAGTTTAGGACTTTAATCTGCTGTACAGTACATGTATTGCTAAACAAGGGAACAGAAAAAAATTGTGTGTCTGATACATCTTCCCTGGAATACTCTGAAATTGCCTTTCCAAGGCTTCATCTACTGATCCTCTGAGGACTCGATAAGATATAGTTCAAAGGCAATTCTACTTTTGGTGTCAACAAACATACTTCAATATCATCAGAGAAATGGAAGAAGAAAATGATGCGCACCTTCAGCTGTGTGTGTGTGTGTGTGTGTGTGTGTGCGCATGTGCTTGTGTGCATGTCAAGGCTTGCTGCTTTGCGATCTGATTAGCACTATACTGAGCTCCAGGGCTATGCTTTCAACACAAGACCGTAGTGCCTGTCATTAACAGAGCTGTCCCCAGTGAAATGCCAGTGTATTAAGTACAAGGCAGTACATCATCTGTGAGTATAATAATAAGGCAAGAAGTCAAGGTAGGTTGTATATGTCCTTGCTCTAACAGATAAACATAAAAATACAAGGCTTTTTGAACAGTCACAGAAGATTGGCCCACCTTTGTAAATGTCATCAAAACTATTTTCCAAACTATTTTACTGTTGACTGCCTATATCTGGATTGTTAGTCTCACTCTTTGATCCATGATTTTAGTTCTTTTTTCTTGCTTTTTCACTCGCTCTCTCTTCATCCTTCTCTCTTTCCCTACTGGGCACCCTGCCTAGAGTCAACCGTTCCCCATCTGCCATGAGAGGCATAGAGCAGCCATATGGATTTTGGCATGTGAAATTAAGAATTTATGGGGATTTTGTGCTCTGAAAAGGCACTGAATATCTACACTGATGTACTTAACAACATTCCCTTCCTTAGTGGCAGACATTTTCAAAATGAGCCAGTCTGGGTTGTAAAGAGAGGTACGGCTATTGTTTGTAGTCGGAATGATGTGTGCCATTTCTTTTCTCCTATCTATTAATATTTTGTCAAAAATACACTTGCACTTCATATATGGTAAATTAGAACTATGCATTCAGTGTGGATGAGAAAACAATACCTTGCACTATTGGTAGTAATGGAGGAGGATGGAAACATTGGATAACAACATCTTTGTTGAGATTTTAAATGATTGATTGATTTCCTTTTTATCTCTCAGTTGAACTCATGATGATGACATGTGCGAGAGAGGAATGTTCACAGAAAGAGGACATAAACTTACCACTGCTGAACTTCCTTCTCAGTGACTGCAAAACAAAACAGAGTACAGAGAATAGTAAGATTTTGTTCAAACTACAGAAACTCGATGCAAGTGTGAGAAAACTAGTTCAGACTGGTTTGTGCTGGGTAATGCTGGTTTGGACCTGGTCTAGCTGATGGACCAACGTAACCACTAATGGTTGAATGAAGAATTAAATTTGAAATGAGGTGAGTAAATTTAATTTGAATTTAATGGAAGTAGCGAAAAAATTACTTTAGATTAAACAAATGTGTAGAACTGTGAAGTGTAATTTTTTTTTAACAAGAAAAATACAATTTTTCAAGACAAACTTTGAATGGTTTGGCATACCCTAATTTTGAAGGTTTCAATAAAAAGTCTTGAGGTGTGAAAAGCCTTTAATAATTCATAAATAACTCCCGGAGTGAATTATTTAACCAGCATTTATTGGCATGAGGCATGAAATATACATGCTTTATTCTGGCAGACGAGATCTGCTACACTGCTGCTGCTACTGAGAAAATACAATAATTTGTTCAGCTTAGTTAAAATAACATAAAGGACATGCTGCTAAAAGAATATAAATAATATATATATATAAAACTTTTGTGCTTAACATTTATTTGATAAAAAAGATACTGTAAAAATAGTTGTATTGAGAAATATTATTACAATTTAAAATAACTTTTTCTATCTTAATATATTTTATTCCTGTGATAGCAATGCAGATCACATTTCTTATCATTATCAATGTTGAAAAAAGCTGTGCAGCTTAATATTTTTATGAAACCAGTCATACTTTTTTTTATTCTTTGCGTTTCTAGTAGATACCATATTGGTGCTGAGTAGCTGAATGGAGACAGGGAAACGTGGAAATGTGACAGGAGAACTGCTATATCTGTCTCTCACAGCTTAGAGGCAGACTGCCATGCCAACACAACTAACATCAGGCCTGTCACACTATTTGACAGCCTCTGAGCCATCGCAGAGAGAGCTTTTTCACAAAGATTTATGGCTCATACAGACGCATAAGCAGATATACACTTTAAGATCCACTGCTACAGTAAGTGGACCAATAAATTAAATGTATAGTTCTCGTACGAGAGGTTCTCTCGTGCTGCATAATATCTTACGCTAGAGCAAAACCTCTTATCCACAAGATATTGAAGCCAAAAAACATCCTGAATTCTGAATGAATGAAAAACGTTTTGCAGCAGCATGCAGATAAATTAGGCAAAATGGCTCGCATGCCTATTGGCTGTCCTGCGGCAACTGCAGCAGCCTATCGTGAGAGGCTCTGGTGACATCAGACCCAATGGGGGCACTGGACTGGAGTGAAGAAGCCACGTCGTCTGAGAAAAAGCCGCTTTCTGGCGTATATGTCCATTTTTCACACTCTCGCTATCTAAAAGAGCAGCGTCTTTTTAAAGATGCCTCGTTCCTGTGGGTCGCGCCCAGCCGCACTCAGCGACAGGACCACCATTTAATCTGCATTTCCTGCCTGGATAAGGGTCATGCAGCTCTTGCACTCGCTGACGGCGGCTTTTTTCTCAGAGACTGCACTGCCCGCTATAGTGCCGCGCTGTATAAAGCGCCATACTCAGCGGGTCCCCAAGACTTCTCCTTATATCCTAGAGGGTCCCGCCTTACAGGCTAAACTACTTTCGGTCTAAAGGTTAGTACTGTCTGCCCCGTTGCTTCGGCTCAGAATCCTGAAACTGCTTGAGCACCGCATCGCATGGGCAATGAGTAAGACACATACTGTTACCCAGTTGAGGCAGAACATTTTCACCCTGACTGTGTGGTCCTCTGTTGATGTGATTATCTCCCTTAGGATGCTACTTATTGGAAATGACGCTTCTAGCCTCTCTTCTCAGACTCTCTGTCAGTCCCTGGTAATTATGCACTATATGAGCCCGGGGCACCTGCCCTTGGGACTTTGGTGTTGGATCCCACCACACACACACAACGTTTTACACTGTGTTCCTCCAGCGTAACATATTACACAGTACGAGAGAACCTCTCGTAAGAGAACATACTTGGTTACTAACGTAATCTTGGTTCTCTCTAGGAGAGGGAACGAGTACTGCGTATCTTTGCCGTGACTGCAAGACACTCCGATTTGTTTCGGCAATGAAAAAACAGATTATATCAGCCCATCGAACTGTATTTATAGGCCTAGGCCACACCACGCGAAGCGCCCCCATTGGATCTGACGTCACCAAAGGCCCCTCTCGATCGGCTGCTGCAGTTGCCGCAGAACAGCCAATAGGAACGTGAGCCGCCTTGCCTATGTCTGCATGCTGCCGCAACGCATTTTACAGTAATTCAAAATCTCTCATATAAAAGAGGATTTCCCCTTGTGTAATATATTACGCAGTACTCGTTTCCTCTTCCAGAGAGAACCAAGGTTACATTAGTAACCGAGAACATTATACATTATATTTATTTGTTTAGCACTTTTATCAGGTTAAATTAAATAAAAAAAATAAATAAAAATTTGGTACACACGCGCTATACTAGACAGGTGTGTTTGGCATTTGCATCTCGCTGTATCTAAATCAACTTCCGTAATAAGCACAGAACCCTTATTTTTAAAACTTTGAACAATACCCCAGTAAGATGATACACTAGAGGATGATGCAACACTTTTGCATTTACTGACCTGATAATATCAATAAGCCTATGTCATTGGCTCAAATGCTAATTGCAGTTTGTGTTAGTTTACTGTTTACATCTTAATACTCTTGAGTACGGTGTGCAATTGTCCCCACACACACACACACACACACACACACACACACAGACCTCATTGTCTGGGGCAGGAGTGTAGTCGTTACCAAGATTAGTTATGTGCATCAATGTAGAGCGAAAGATTGAGAGGGGAAAAAAGGATTAGGGGTGAGGAGAAAGATAATTCTTTAAAAAGATTTATGACACAACCAAGCCTTGAGGAGTGAGAACACTAGCTGAAATATTATAATAAAGGAATTAAATATTTACATTACTAAAGGATGAATGTAAACAGTGGGAATGACAAAAATATGTCTGGACAGAGAGAGGAGAGGGCAGAGAGCACTTGGTAACACAGGTGTGTCTCATCAGCACTCATGACCCAACATGACTTCATCCAGCATCCAATGCATCTGCTACAACAAAGAATATCAGAGAGAGAGAGAGAGAGAGAGAGAGAGAGAAAACAGAAGAAAAACATCCTTCTCCATCAAAAATCTTATTAATAAGATACTCAATATAAGATACTCTGCAACTTCACAAACCATTATAACCCAGCCCGTTACAAACGACAAAACATCTCATCTAATCTGCCCGTCACGCTGAAGGGCAATTCTACTCATTCTACAATGCCTCTCCTCCTCACTGTCAGCTAGCATGGGCCATGGCAGCAAATTAAGACAAGTAAAGAGCAAGACAAGAGTAAAAGACAGAGACAGGCGAAGAATAATGAACAATCTGGTGCCTTGGGAGCCAATGCACAGTCAGAGCCATTTATAGGTCTCATATCAACTCAAATGATTGCAAGACGTTTGCAAGATGTTTGAGGTGTTTTTTGTTCGTACCTTGAGAGGAGCCATAAACGAAATCAAAGCATTTGTCAAAACATCAGTCCCAATTCTGAACATAAACTGTATAATTATGCTAACCTGGACTATTGTGGTAAAGCAAAATGCATCTTTTTGTTTTTGCTAACTTTGCCACTGAGCCAGTGTCTATGGACAAGATGACCACCGCCAAACCAGTATCTCCAGAGCCGGTGTCTGTTCCTGTTCCCTACAGCCAGTAACCCTACAGCCAGAATACCACTGAATTCGATAAGTTCTGCTCTAAATGGTTCTTTTGTTGTAAAATCATTTTTGTTATACCTATTTTGTTATATTATTTTGATATAAGAATCAAGAGATTGTTTACTAATTACCTCAGCCTTCTCAATGCATCCAGTTTACTTTAGGTCTCTTTTTTCGTGGTGGTAGTAAGGATCTCCAACCCCTTAAATTTGGAGTGGCACAGTTCATATAGCCATGTTGGCTGTAACATCTGCAACATCCTCCTTATTAGTTGAGGCTCGAGGCTGGTCTGACCTCAGAAATATTCACTAATTTCCTCTTTAAATTCCTACCTTCTCACTTCTGACATACAGCCCCAGATACACCAAAGCAATTTGATTAAGGACTTCATGAACACAATACCTTTAAAACAGGCTAGCCTACCATAAAACAACAGCAGCATTCCTCTCCTCAATGCAGCACCAACAAAAATTATGACACAGGTTTCTAACAAAAGTTAGTGCACTAGGAATAAGGAGTTAAGTTCGAGATATCAGTGCCATTGGACTTGCATACAATAGTGTCTGTGACTAAAGCGAGTTAAAGGACTCACTGAGTCAATCCATTAATAAAAACATCTCATGAAATCATGTGAATCAGAGGACATTCCCAGCCAGGCTGCCTGTGTGGGCCACATTCTGTGAAACAGACTCTTGGTAAATCTCCTTCCACATAACGCCTGTTGTATTTCCTCTCCTGGGCCACCCACTGTTATATTTGATTAAGCTATTTGTGGACATAAACTCAATGTGAAGGCAGGGAAGGAGACTGACTGGCATCACCACTACTGGGTTATCCTGTCTGTCTCTTTCTGGATCTTCAGATGCCTTTCCTTGACGCACAATACACATGTACACAATGTACAGAGGGCACAGCATGGGGCAATGAAAGAATCATCTGTCATATATGTGCCTCTAAAAGGCCAGGTTCACACCAATACAAATGTTTGACATGAAAATTTGGTCAAAATTTTGCACTTGATTTATCTGTTCAGATCAATGTGTAAAAAAAAAACAACCAGAAGATTGGCTGAATGCAAATTTACTCCCTGATAATAGGTGGAACTTATTTTTTAGGGAAGCACGGGAGTAACCATTTGTAATTTTTATATGTCTGGATTCCGGTGTAATTTGCTTCTAGTTATTTTTAGCTGTACAAAACAGCTTGTTATGCTGCTTGCTTGATA